CACATATATTAAGCTCCACAAATAAACAAATAAAACACATACAAAATCTAACTCATTTATTCAATAAGTTGAGAGCTGAGTAAATAATTAAGAAAAATTCCGACTCATTCAAGCCCTTTATTCCACATCCCTTGGCTTGAAAGTCATAATTCATTAACAAAGGAATGTGTGGTCTGCCTTCGCTTGCAGATGCAACTATGTCTATCCCCATCATAATTATTCATTGATTGGAATTCCTAAGTTCGTCCACTAGTTTTTTCTGTGGGTATAGAAAATCATAAAAAGAAATTCCATTCCTGGATTAGGAATACTCTTCTTTCACGCATTTATATTGTCAATATGGAAAAATTCCCTCTCTAAAATTTGATTAATTATTATGTGTGGATGTCGAACATTGTCCGAAGAATAATCAACACATTACCCCTTCGTTTGGTACTGCGGCTCGATATTGTTCGGTACAGCTGACGTAGCGCATTCTGGTTAGTCTCCCGATAACGTTATGCGTCTGATCTCCTCACAGAATAATTTCTCCTAAAATTTAGCATGGTCAAATAATTTTCACTGTGTTATCAAAGTCAAGTGTGAAGGTGGCTAACTTTGAAGTAATTTAAGGGACTTCAATGCAATATACCTTGTGGTGATTAGCTAGAAAATATAATTTTAAGAGAACCAAAGTAAATTCTCAAATTTGATTAATATTTCCTTATCTTCAAACCATCAAATTAGTTGTGCCCAATGCAACTATGGCGGTGGTAGAACAATCATGGATGGTAAGAGCAATGTCATTAAGGTTTCGTTTAGGACGACTTTCTTTCAGCTTCTAAAAGCAACTTTTTAGTATAAAAATTTTAATTTTTGTATTAAAAAGCTTGTTTATGAAGCAGTAAGAAAGTCGTTCCAAACTAAATTTAAGTCTTCTAATGGTGGTTGGTAATGTGATTATTGTCATCATATGCATGACTAGTTCATAACATTTAAAGTTATTGCATGATGACTTCTAAAAAATGATTGAATCGGAGGAGATTATTTGTCATCACTAAGAGCTTTTCATCATACAAATGATAGAAGAGATAAATATTTATCTGAAAATTCATATGAGGGAAAATTTTAATTAGGCCAAACTTTTTGAGTGGTTTCCGCTATTTTATGGGAAAAAAATCATCATTTTATAGAAAATTAGTGTGAGGGCAGTCTACCTCCAAGTAATTTAGAGAGGTTTTTTATAATGTCTTATGATCAAGTAGAAATGCAACAATAGGGGAACCAACATAGTTCCTCTCATTCATTTATTATAAATGTAGCAAGAGTATATAATATTAGAACAAACGGTAGCACAAATGGCGGTGTTTTTAGTGGCATCAATGTGAATTTTTATGTTATGGTCTTGAGTCTTCAAATGATAAGTGACTCAATCAAAATCATTGCACACTATAGATTTGGCAAAACTATAGTGGCAATATGTAGAATGACCATAAATATGTAAGGGGAATCATCTAATCTTCTAACAATGGGAGGAGGGAATGGGGAAGGAGGGTGAGAATCGATTCTACAAAATCCATCACTTGAGGCACATCCAATGTGGCTATTGCAATGGTAGAATTATGATAGATATGAGAGGTGTGCATCATCTAATCTTGTAACATTTGTGAGCAACATGATTATTGCTATCATATGCAATCAATTTGGTATTATTATTATGAGAAGTGATTGTCAATGATGAGCATTATAAGTGTTGCATCCCTGAACATTCGTGTTGGTAGGGAGATGGAGAGTTTGATGTCCTATAGCTTTGTACAAAGATCTGACGCCACACAAATAAAAGAGAGGGGTGCAAGAATCATAGGAGACCATAACTTTTATGTGAAAACCCCTGAAAAGAGGAACAACCATGGGGTCATTTCCAATTGAAATCATTCAACTAGTGTTTGATATTGATTACAAATGATTCCCTTCCTCAGAGGAAGGCATTGGCACAATGTAGCAAATATACATTATATAAAGCACATTACACGATTGGAGTTGGAAGCCATGGCATGAGAGTTATTCTTAAGAGATATTTGGCTTATTTTATTAGTCGGCAAGACTGTAGTCGAGCGACGGTGGTTAGAACACCGTAGTCGAACAATAGTGGTCAGATGACCGTAATCAGGCATGATGGTCATAGAATTGTAGTCGGACGACAAATGTTGGAGGGAAATAAGTAGGCAACGGTGGTCGCAGGGCCATAGTTAGATGATAGAGATCAGAAGGACCATAGTCAATTGGTGATGAAGGTTAGAGGGACCGTAACCAGGTGAGCGAGGTTAGAGCGACAATAGTCAGTCGACAGTGATAGGATGGACCATAGTTAGACGATGGTGGTCTAAGGACTGTAATTGATATGCCACCGAAGTCGAAAGGACTATAGTCGGTCAATGGGGGTTGGAGGTACCATAGTCAGATGACGGGGATTGGAATGAGTATAATTAAGGAATATATATCAAATAGAGATTAGATTGTGGTGACCGAATAGAGATTCAATGGCGATGGTTGGATGGAGGTCCGACGGCGATAGCCTGGCTAAGGTCCGGTGATGGAGCCAGGTGAACATTCGACAATGATCAATAAGTGAAAGTCTGACAGCGGCGGCCGAGTGGCTAGGGTTTGTTGGAGTTGGTGCTCTAGGATTCATGTCTTAGATCTTTTTAAATCTCTTACCCAATGTCCAAGCCCTCTTAGATCTTGAGCTTGTTGGATTCATCTCATCAAGTCGTTCGATTCAATTATAAGCATGTTATATTTGAATATCATTTTATCATTCAATTAATGCTTTGAAGTTTTCAAATATGCTTAATTAGACCGATTTTAGTGTCATTGGGTTCGTCTCATTGTGATGTTCAATTTGACTATAAGTTTGTTGAAATCGGAATTCAGATTGCCCCAAATTTAATTTCGAATGTTTTCAATTTGAATATTCCTCAATATTCGTGTTCAATCAAGATGATTTTTAGTATCAATAAGGGATGAGAAATTTCTTGAGATATCTTTCAATTAAAGGAAATTTAAAAAAAAAAAAAAAAAACTTATTATATGGTGAAATTATAAAAGAATGATATTTTTCTTGACCTTGTTTACCTAGCTGACCCACATAACTACCGCAAGACTAATGAGTTGGACGATGTTCTAATTATGATGACCAATAATATATCGAGCTAACAATCTACATGTATCAAATTGTGACTAATGATCTAGAAGTGCATCGGTGATAACAAATTAAAATTTTGATATCTTTCAAAAAAAATTATTCTCTTAAACTGACTCGATAGAAATCAGTTCCACAAAATAAAATGATTTTTTTTTTTTTTTTTTTTTGCTCACAGAACATGAAAATATTAGGCATAATAATTTTGAGAAATTCAACTCTTTTCTCTATTTCTCTTATCTTTTTTTCATACATCTTAAACTTGGGGGTTTTACCTACGTACCATTTTATATTTTATTATTTACATATCAAAAACTCAAAATTTTAAGATTTCATCTCTACAGTCCATAGATCAAATATATATGATAAAAATGAAATATTAAAATTTATAGGATCGTATGGATAGTAGAAATGAAATATAGGAGTGATATATTTGATATTAAAAATTTTTACGAGTGATACTTGTTGCATGCTAGAATATACGCGGAAGTAGAGTTAGGAAATATTCGTCTTAGCGTTGCACAAGTATTTCGCACACAAACAGAAAATAGAAAATAAACAACAAGGTTTTTACGTGGAAAACCCAAAAGAGGGAAAAAAACCACGGGGCCTCACCCAGTTGCAAAGTTCCACTAGTATTTGTTTGAAGTACAAAGGTTGATCCGTCTTACAAATCAAGACGATCAATTTACAATCAACTTCTCACAAAGTTACAAAGTTCTGCAAATTTCCGGCGTTTCCCAAAAATCCGGCAAAGTTCCGGCGTCTTCAGGCGGCAGGAAAAGCTCCGGCGGTGGTCGAGGAGGAGCTTCTTCCTTCTCCTTCTTCTCTTCTTCTTCTCTCTCTTCCCTTCCCCCCCTTTGGTGTAGAATGAGAGCTCTATTTGTAGTTTTTCTGGAATGGCATAGCCCGTAAATAGGCGTGAGATCATGGGCGAATTGGGAGTGTTTTGAATGGACGGCCGATATCGAATCCTTTGACCATGCACTGTTCATTGGGCATTTGAAGGCCTAAATGATGTCGGAATTCGGAGATCTTGGGCTCGTTGGATTCGTCTCGTCGAGCCATTCGATTCGAGTATAGGCTCGTCAAAATTGGAGACCGTTTGGTAACTCAATTTGAGGTTTGAACCTTCCAACAGCGCTTTGAGCCCTTGATTCAGACTCATTTGGACTCGGATTGGGTTCATCTTGGTGTCGTTGGGTTCGTATTTCCGAGACGCTCAGTTTGACTATAAGTTCGTTGAAATCGGAGTTCGGGTACTCCCAAAATTGATTTTTGAAGTTTCCAACTAACTTTTGCCTCGAGATTCGTGCCGATCAAGCTAATTTTGTAATGACGTATCAATACTCATGAAATTTTAAAATTTTAAATGTTAAATATAAAAATAGCATTATATAAAATGATATGTATCTAAATGATTAAAATTCATCTTCATTTTCTCATAATCTCACTCCACTCCTTATTTTATAAATAAAAAGATAATTTAGGTTGTAAGCAAGCTCCAATTCATTGAATTTAATTCAAATTTAACGTTATAAGCAAGCTAGACAGATCACAATTTAGGTAATATACAATTCACCACCGTTCTCTTCAGATTGATCGCAATCCTTCGTCGTGGTCGAAATGCGATGCCGGCACGCGGCAGGATTAGCTTACCCAAGAACCCGGTCTGGAACTTGAACCCATGGAATCGTTCGGCCGATGTCTTTGTCCCATTAGCTTCGAAAACGGAGAGGCTGTCCCCTGAGGCCCGATCGCGACAACCAACTGAAATGGCCTTCCATTCATCCCCATTGCTCGACTCACACGCGTAAGGCTTCCATTGGTGCAATCTCCTCGGAGTCGATTCCACCGGGCCCCTACCACGTTATCCACCACCGCAACGCCAGCTTTGCGAAGCGACGTGGCTCTCCTCCCGCCATGTCTTCTCCCCGTCCGGCGACGATGATTTTCGTCCATACAAATCCCCGCCGCTGAGCCTTAGAATACACTTGCACGCTGACCAAGATCCACTTTGCTTCGAGAAAGTGAACAATAGGATTAGAAGGAAAGAGACGGGTCGGGAGGGAGTAGCTTCAAAGCAATTCCGCTTTATATCCGTACGTGATAGCCGAAGAAGACAAGTTGCAATACCCATGGACTCTTCTACCGCCGCCGTCCGCCGCCTTTCCACTGCCATGGAGCGCACCGGCCGGTGGTAAGTAAATATTAACCTCCTCCTCTCTTTCTCTCTCTTCACCAAGTGACCCATTTCCCCCTTTCTCTTGTTCCCAAACTTTCAGGGTTTTCTCTCAGGAAGTCCCATCCGACATCGTCATCAAGGTCGATGACGCCACGTTCCCTCTCCACAAGGTAACAATCAAATCGATCTATGTCAATAATAGCTTTAATCAAAGCTTGATGATTTCTGATTTAGTTAATTATCCTCGAATCAGTTCATACTGGTGGCAAAAAGCGGGTACATAAGAAAGAAGATTGTGGAGTCGGATAAATCGGATCTGGGGATGCTGGAGCTCAAGGGGATACCGGGCGGTGCGGAGGCATTTGAGAAGGCGGCGAGATTCTGTTATGGTGTTAACTTTGAGATCTCAGTGGAAAACGTGGCGGCGCTGCACTGCGCGGCGGAGTGGCTTGAGATGACGGAGAAGTCTTGTGAGGGGAACCTCGCCGCCCGCGCGGACGAGTTCATCGCCAAGGCCGCACTCATCACGCTTTCCGGCGCTGTTACCGTGCTCAAATCTTGCCAGAAGCTCCTACCTTTCGCTGAAAAGCTCCGGATCGTGCAGCGCTGCGTCGATGCCATCGGTTCCAAGGTCTGAACTACGAGACCTAAAATAATTTTTTTAGATTTAAGACTTAAAATCTTATAGATTACTAATTTGCAAGGCTCAATTCTGACTTGATACTGCGACGGTGCTACTTAAATAAAAGATTCAGATCAAATTTTATAAAATTGTGATTTATGTAAACTAAAATGTAAGAAAATCTAAAAAAAAAAAAAAAAAATCATGAGACTTAATCTAAATCCTGCATGAGTCAAACAGACCCTCATCTCTGTGTTCACTTCAATTTCAGGCTACTCACGAGGCAAACTCCCCGAGCCGCTCCCCTCCTGACTGGTGGGCCGCCGAACTCGCCATGCTCAATCCACCCTTTTTCCAGAAAGCCCTCGCCGCCATGAAAGCTCGAGGTGCCACCCCAAAAACCCTCTCAACCTCCGTCGCAGTCTACGCTGGAAAATCTCTCCCTGAACTCCTCCCCCTCTCCTCTTCCTGCGGCCGCGGTCCGTCTCCCGCCGCCTCCAGCGCTGGCACAGATCGCTCAACCCAGCGCAACTTCATCGAATCCTTTATCGCGATCCTCCCAACCGATCACGACACCCCCCTTCCGGTCGGATTCCTCTGTTGCCTCCTGCGCGCCGCAATCTTCCTTAACTCTTCTGCGGCCTCCCGCCGCGATCTCGAGCGCCGGATCTCTACATCTCTCGATCAGGTCGCTGTAGGCGACCTCATGGCCATCGCCTTCGATTACTCCGGCCAGAGGCTTGCCGATCTTGACAGTATTCGACGGATTGTGACTGGTTTTGCGGAACGGGAAGTCGCTGGCGCCGTCGCGCAGCGGACGGCCCGAGTTGTTGATGCATTTGTGGCTGAAATCGCTACAGAGGAGGATCTGCCGGTTTCCAAGTTCGCCGGCATCGCTGGTGCGCTTCCGAAATCGTCACGCCGCTTTGACGACGATCTCTATCGCGCTGTCGACATCTACCTCAAGGTATAGAATGTTGGTATGCAGGTTCCGTTCCGTTTTCGTCTAAAGACGGGTATTTGAATATCATTTAAAAATATAAATTATACTTTACTTAATTCATTTTTAATCCAAATTTTATTAAAAATTATGAAGATGTTTATAATTATTTTTAGTAAGTACTAAATTTTTAAAAATATTTATGTCTCAAGAAATTCTGATTTAGAATTGATCACTTAAAATGGAATTTATAATTATTTTTAAATAAATGCTAATTTTAAAAATAATTGTATGTATAAAAATAAGAAATATAATTAATTGTAAATATATTTTATCAATATACTCCGATTAAATTTAAATGGATCTGTTTTAAAGTTTTTGAATTTACTTTAAGATGAAGTTAATATATAAATAATTAATGTTTACTCATTTTAAATGATTTAAATATTTTGGAACTCATTTATTTTTAGTAAGAATATTCTAATATAATATTTTTTTAATAAGATTATCATGTTGCATCATCATCATTGTTAATTTTTATTAAAAAAGGATTCCTGACAAAAATATTTTCAAACATGCATATTAGCTTTTATAAGATTAAAACAATAAATACGGTCCAATATGCCAAATCATGGACATTTTCACAAGCGAGCCCGTATATCTTCAGGCACACTCAGGCCTTGACGAAATAGAGAGGGAGAAAGCCTGCAGCGTGATGGACCCATTAAGACTTTCCTACGAGGCTCGCCTCCACGCGTCTCAGAACAAGCGACTACCTCTCCAAGTAGTCCTCCACGCCCTCTACTACGACCAGCTCAAAATCCGAAGCGGCGACGCCGCTGACGAGCCGCCGATTGTTGCCGTCGCGAGCGGAGACGACACATTGGCCAAAGAGAACGAGGCGCTGCGCTCAGAGCTAGCCCGGATGAAGCTTTACTTGACGGACATTCAGAGGAGCCAAGGCAGCAGTACTGGGAAGTCGACGACGGTGATGGCATTACCGGCGCCGCCTGTCGCTGGTAAGAAGACGTCGTTCTTCTCGTCGGTGTCAAAAAAGTTGGGGAAACTCAATCCGTTCAGGCAGGGATCGAAGGATACGTCGACTATTGAGGAAAATGTTGGGGTGGATTTGGCGAAGCCGAGAAAGAGGAGGTTCTCTATTTCTTGATGATCGATTGTTATAACTATTAGGTTATATATCTGATCTATGTAGCATTTCATTTGAAGTTTGAAGTTGAATGATATGATTGTTTGAGTAGTAACTTGTATATGGATTAAGATGGATTACTGTTGAAAATTGTTGTTGGATTTGAGCTTTGAACTTTGAAGACAGTTGATCTCTGTTAATGACATTATTAGATTCGATGTTGTTGTTTGGTTGGAATTGTCTTTGCTGTTTCAGAAAATTGCGGAGAATGGAATTTATTTAGAAAAGAAATCGGGTTATAGTATTTCGATCAAATTTTAATCGAACATATATCTTAAATTAATTGGATTAATTTTGAGATTAATATAATATATTTTTAATCGCTTAATTATATATCATATCCATCTCAAAAGCAATTTAATCTTTTTTAGATTTATAAATTTTGATGATATTTCATCAAATTTATGAGATGACCTTTGAAAATTGTCGTTGGATTTGATCTTTGAACCTTGAAGATAGTTTATCTGTTAATGAGATTATATTATATCGATCTCAAAAGCCATGGATCAATTTCTCTTCTCTTCTTATGTTCTGCATAGCAGAAGTCCAGATTTAATTCTCTGTTGCTTGCAGCTACAGGTTAGCAATGTTTAACATGGAGCTGGGGAGAGAATCATTGAGAGTAATGGGTAAAGGGAGAGTTTGTTGAACCAATATCACTATCAATTTACTGCGCATATTAATGCAGATGCCAATGAGGAGCCATGGATCAACGAAGCTATTGTAGCTTCGTTAGTAATGTTCTTGTGAGTAGATACATGTACAATCCAATTATATTCCACGGGATTTAAAACCTATCCTCGTTAATGTATAATATTACTTTAGGATAAGGTCATAAGATTCATCTTTTAACTTTTCTTATTCTACGTAGTTTATCTTGGTCTGTTGGTTGAGAGTTTTGACTACCAGCGAAGAGGTTATGGGTTCTAAAGAAACGACAAAGTATAATAGGATAAGGACAAAGAGTAACTATGAGAAAGCTGGACTTTATTTTTAAGTCTCATTACAAGCGCTCTAATTCCTACTTATCTTTTTATATTTATAGCCTTGTGATGTATACATTTGTGGTTGTGATTCATTGTATTTGTTACAGGTGAATGGTTGTGATTCAATGTTAGTGTGAGATGTAGCTGGATTCCTCTTCTTGTGAAATGCGGCGGAACTTGTCTGTGTTTGTTTTAAGCTCCTGTGTTATGCTAAATTGCTGCTGATCTCGTCTATTCTTTTTATTAATTGTGTAGAAGTGTGTTTGTTTGAACTTCTAATTTAGCAATCTTGTACTAATGTGTTGATCAAGTCTATTGTAGTTTGTTTGCTTCTCCAAATATGTGAAATGAAAAAAAATTCTAGAACGTGTTGCGTGCCTTTTGTGGGAATGATCTGAATGCATTGCAGATATATCAATTTCCAGTTTACAATTCTTAAGAATGAAAACTTCCAATGAGTTAAAATGCATCATTCTTAAACTGGTTTGTTTATGCTGAATTACCTTAAGAGATTATTGAATTGCCTTCAGAGATGATACGAAAGTGGAAGATTAGTGAAAATCTTAACAATTTTGAATCTTGACAGAAACAAAATCTGTGAAGATTAAGAATGATGCATTTTCGTTAGCAGGTTTAAGAAGGTGTGAAACTGCTATAACATAAAGTTTGAAGGGATACGCATTGAAAAAAGAAACTATAAATTTTTAATCTTTCAGTTGGTTTACTTATCCCTCAACATATGGGCAATATAAGCTCAATTGACTTACTTGATTTGTCAAACAATAGCAATTGCTCCATCATATGCAAGTCAATACATAAATCACTTGTAATCCTCAAGTTAGTAGTTGTAATATGCAAATAATGGCTGATAAACAATCGATTGAATGTTACTAGGCTACGTAGTAGTATTCATCAATATATGTATGCCACAAAGGGTGTTCATTTATACCAATGAAAGCCACATCATGAATGCAAGGTAGACCAATTAACTGTCGTGCTCTAAAAGTGCACTCCCTTCTTTTGATATCAATGATATGTCTTGAATGGAGGCCCTCCACCTTAAAATGCTAGATTGCCTAACTATGAAATGATCTTTCCTTGTTGTGATATTTCTAATATATTCTTCTACATTTGGGACTAACTCATGCGGCCAAGTCATGCTAATCATCTTTCACTTAGCTCTTTGCTCCGTAAGCTTTCCCCGAATCATATTAATGAGGTCAACTGTAGGTTTGGTTCTAACATCAATAATTCATGAGTTAAAACATTCCGTAAAATTATTTGTATTATCAGCATGACACATCCCTATCATGAATTGACTTCTTGACCACTTATATGGTAACAAAGGTATATACGAGTAAACAATCATGCTCAAGTCATTAAGTTTAGCAAGCTTCTTGTTACACTCTAGGGGTGTAAACGAGTCTAGTCGAGCTCAAGTCTGGGGGTGTTCGAGCTCAACTCATGAGTCCAATATCGAGCTCTAACTCGATTCGAGCTCGATCTTGATTCGCAACACTGAAACAGGCTCATCAAGCCGCTCATTGAGTTGCTCAAATTCACCCGCCATTGAAACTCATGAGCCTCATGCATCTTCCGCAACGGTCGCGTCCACGGTCCCGTTGGTATCCAGTCCGTGACAGATTGCCTGTCCCATCCCTTTCGCTCTTCCCATGGGCATGCAGTAAGACGCAATTGCCTTGATTCTCGAGCTAAGCGGCAAGCATTATATGCCTCGAATTTGAGCAGGTTTAGGCGATATTAAGCGGGTTTAGGTTAAATCGAGCTGACTCAAGGGCTCACAAGCCGAGTCTCAATCAAGTTCAAACTCGAGCTTAGTAAATGAGCTTGAGTTTAAGCTTGAACTCGACTCATGAGCTCAATAAGCTTACTTTCGAGCCTATAAATGAGTCAAGCTCGAGCCGGCTCACGAGCCGACTCAGTTCACTTACACCCCTATTACACTCTATATTATTATAGGCATTAACAACCACTCAAACCAATCCTTGGACTTTTTGCTCATCTTTGCAACAATTTTTTTTAAGGTTCTTTCACAAATGTCAAATACAAAATTTATGCTAAGCCTCGGGATATACATCTCTAATTGCCTCTCCCAAACCCTTCTCCATGTCGGATATGAAACAAAGAGGTTTTAAGGTAGTTCCAATTGTCTCTCCTAAGTTTTGAAGAAACCATAACCATGTATGTTTGGATTCAATCTCAACAATAACATATGCTAATGTGAATAAGCCATTATTTCCATCAAGTGATTAGGCCAATAAAAGCACACCTAAATATTTAGATTTGCGATGACATGCATCCAAACTTACAAGTGGTCTGCACCCAATAAGAAATTCATTAGCACACACCTTGAAACTGACATAAAACCTCTAAAAAGAATTGTTAATACTATTAAATGTATATGTTATATGCGATCCTTAGTTTTTATCAAGTAGTTCTGGTGTCAATATTGAAACCCATTTATAGATGTCATCAACTAAGACAAATATGACATCACGAGCTTTCTCTCTCGCCATCCAAAACTTCATATAAGGTTATGATTACACAAACTCTTTCTATATATTGCTATTTATTTCTTTTGGTGGAATTTCTGGATATCTTTACTATCTTCTGAATCTCATTGACAAACCCATGCTGATGTGGCCAACCGCTTCCCTTCACGATTTATCCCTGGGCATGTGTGTACTCCTTCAACTCGCCTAACTTGAAAAGTTTGAGTGTCTTCACATAGGGTGCTCGAATTCTCCGTTGACAATCTTGATAGGAACATGTCGCAATGATGCATTTCGTATAACTGACTTTTATCATCACCCCAAAGTTCTCCTAAATGGAAACTGATCACAGAGCATTCTTGAAACTTGTTGCATTATTAAAAAATGTAACAGGAGTGATATTTGCAAAACTTGAAGTTTGAATTCTTGGAAAACCATCATTCTGAGTAATAGAACATTTTATAATGTGTTCAATACTCTCAACCCCCATACGGTGAGAATTTGATTGATCTTCATCTACTTCTTGTAGTGAGATAACTATCTCGGCACGTAAATTCTCATTCGATAATTTTACCAACTGGCTCACATCAACATCTGAATTTATTACTTCGCACTCCTCGGGTGATGTTCTTTATATGTGATAATGCATGTTATATTGATGCCCTTTAAGCCATGGACATATTCTAACAATCTCTATTCTAATCATGAAAATATTGATATGTCCTTTCTTAAGTTTGGCAATTCTTTGTTCGTCGTCATTATAGTTCTTTCTAGATTGGTCTTTCGTGTCAACCCAAAATCCTCCAAATTTAAATGCAAGAAAAATATGCTCTTTTTTATCTCCACATAAAACATCTTCTACTTCGTCACCATAATCCTACATTACTGAATTATGCTACACGCTTGTCATTTTTCCTTAACTTCAAGCTATAATATAAAGACATATCAAACACCAAATCATTAGAATAATTAAATTTACATAATTCACCCATATACACCTATATAAATTACAGAAGACAAATCACATATGCTTCTTCAAAATGTACCCATATACACCTAATTATTTACAGAACACTAATTTAAACAAATTAGAACCTACATAATGCTTACTAAAATAACCTACAGAATTAACCTACATAATGCTAAATAAGACTTCTTGGGTCCGACTATCACAATAAAAAGCCTACATAAAGCACATTCAGAATGCTAAGTAAATAAATGTTTAAGGATGTCACCTAATAACAAATCAAAGTCTGACATGAGAAAATACATATACTATGCAAAGTCTAACGACAGATAGAATAGCACAGCAAAATCGGACACTACAAGTAATCAGAAATACATACATAATGCAAAATCTGATGCGAGAAAGAATAGCAAGATTAATGCTCGTTGGAATGATGAGGATGCATGGTGGAATTTGGATGCGAGCAGTTGGATTGCGCGAGAGAAAGTAGAGCATCTCATGAGAGAAGCGTGCAGGAGAATAGCTTACACGGGAAGAGAGAATTCTCGCGCGGAAAGAATAGCTCACGTTGGAAGAAATAATGGAGTGAGGGTTAGTGGAGATGGAGTGGTGTTTTGGTTGTTAAATTAATGTTTGAATGATAGTTCCGCCGTAATATTTAACTTTTTAGTGTTAAATATATAATATAGATATAATAAAATCACATGCATGTAAATAACTCTAAAATAAAACTTACGAAAACATGTATTTTTTTTTTATAAATATTTCATATTCACGCCGCTGCCTATACACAAGCAGTTTGCTTGTAGCAATATAGCCGAACCGATTTTCGTTTTTCTTCAATCGACCCCTTGCCGAAGAAACGCGGCTACGCTCTCCAAACTGGCGTGTCATGGCTTCTACGCCGATGGTCCTCGACCCGAAGCCCACTCCGACGCCGGCAGATCTTCCACCAGCGAGCTTTTCTGCTGTGCGGACGGACGCAATCCTCTCTGGTGACGAGGAGGAGGATCTATATGGCCGCCTCAAATCCCTCCAGCGACAGCTCGAGTTCATCAACATCCAGGAAGAATACGTCAAAGATGAGCATAAGAACCTAAAACGGGAGCTACTTCGGGCGCAGGAGGAGGTCAAGCGGATCCAGTCCGTGCCACTCGTCATCGGCCAGTTCATGGAAATGGTTGATCAAAACAACGGCATCGTCGGGTCAACCACTGGATCAAACTACTATGTTCGAATTCTCAGCACCATTAACCGTGAGCTGCTTAAGCCGTCTGCGTCTGTTGCTCTCCACCGACATTCTAATGCCCTTGTCGACGTACTACCGCCTGAGGCCGATTCCAGTATTTCTCTCCTCAGCCAGTCGGAGAAACCAGACGTAACGTACAACGTAAGCGAAGCCATACATTTATTTTGGTTTGATTATTGTGCGCTTCCCTTGGGATTTAGGTTAGGGTTTCCTAAGATCTTTACATCCGATTGTTCTAGGGTGTGTTAATTAGGATGCCTGCATATGGGTTTGAGTGAGTTTTGTACCTTTTTTCTTGGATCGCATGAATTGAAGCAAGTGATACCTAGTGCCCATTGGTTTGGATAAGAGTTGGAGATGTGATTAAGGACCACCTTTTAAATTTGATTCTAATGCAGGTTTTGAAACTTGGATCAATGCAAAGTTAAACATCCTATTATTTAGTTAATCTGAGATGCTGTCTTTTTCTGTGGTGGGAGGACAGCCCTAATTTCGGGGTTTTTTTTTTTTTCTGGTTGTAAAGACCCGACTATGTTGGAGGAAACCTGGTGGCTGAGTTGCTTGGCTCTGGCTCAAAAAATCATTTGATTGCACAGAATTATGTTATTGGAAATGACATTGGACTAATATTTCATCATCTACGGAAAAAATTTAGTTCAAGCTCACTTTTGAGGGGACAATTGTCTTTCTACAACATGTATATCTATATTCTTGTTATGTATTTAATTTAGATATGTGAAATTGTGAATAATTGAATTATGAAGAGCGATTGGCCAAACTCATTTGTGAAAGTTTTGTCACATGAGGCTCGATATAGATAGGTCTTTAGAAGAGAGTGTTATATATAGGTATATATTAAGGCAATATTTCCAAAATTTCTTGTCGTATAAACCAGCTGGCGGCCCATGCCTTGAACTTAGAATTTTTTTTGCTTAATTAATATGCTTGTGCTGTCTTGACATTAGCAGGATATGACCAATTGTTTCCTGTTGCTTGCAATTATGGTGTGGTGTCCTGATTAAGCACACCAAGGAATAATTTTCCATGGTCTTTAATATCTTCTTCATGCATGGTTTCTCATTGTTCAATATATGATTGCAATGTGATAACAATTGAGTGACATTTTTGTACACAGGTCTCTACACTAGGCTTACGTAGCCCTCATGTTTTCCAGTTGTGAGTTTGGGATAGATTATATTGGTAGTTTTTGGGGTTAAATTGTAGAAGGTTTATGTTAATTCTCTCACATTGTTCGGATTGTTGTTAATTAGAGATTTATTGTTGTAGCATTCTACATGGATTTCTAGTTTTTTTTTCATGTGGCATGTATATCTTTGTAAAAGTTCTATTATAGAAGTGACTAGAGTTTATTAAACGAGTAGGGAATTGGTGGTATTATTTTGCTAGATTTTTTTATATGAATGCAATCCTTAGATCTTGAAATTGAGTCCCACCACTTTTTGGGAAAATTTGATCACTTAAAAATTTTAGTTGAAATTTACTTGAATACCTAGGCTATTCACTCATGTTTTCTATAATTTTGATCGGTGCTTATGTACAGGCTTTATCTTGATAATAATATGCTTGCATTGTTTCGACAGTAGAGGATATGGCTAATTTGTCGTCCCAAGCAATTGCTTGGCATTGGGATTTGTTTAGGCACATCAAGCAACCACTTCTTATGGTCTGTAATTTTATTTTCATTTGTGGTTTCTCATTGCTCATTGTGTTTGAGTGTTGTGTGATGGTAGTTGAAAACCATTTAATATTTTGGTTTCTACAGTGGGTATAAATAGCCTGTGTATTTTTTGGTCTCAATTTTGGGCTAGATTATAGTGGATCTTCAGTTTATTTTTTATTTAAAATATAAAGGTTATGTTGATCTTCTAACTATGTTTGATTTGTTCTTAATTATAAATTTCTACTAGTAACAATCTGAGCAGATTGCTCTTTTTCCTTCTTTATGTGATGTATATCTTTATAACAATTTCATTATAGAAAGGACTAAAGTTTATCCAATTAAAGGACAAATCAGCATTTATTTTTGTTATTTTTTTGTTGTGAATGTACATACTTTAGCTTAAATTTAAGGCACGCTAATACCTTTTTTGGAAAAAAAGTTAACCAGTTACAAATCTGAAGTTAAATTTTATTTGAATACCTATGTTATTCCCGTTTAAGGGCCTTTTAGTTAGGGCTAATGCATATGGACAAGCACAATCTTTAGATTTAAATTTCTGAATGACAACTCATTGAGGTCAAGTTAGATGCATATCACAAATTGCAGATGGTTATATATATATATATACATACTTGTAAATAATTTATACTTGATTCATGCTGGAAGCCTGGAAGTAATTTTATCACTATCACATGCTTTGAGGGAGGCCAATACTTGGAGTATGGATTGACAAAGGCTTTCTTGTAGAACACGCCATTTATTAGTATGCTCTAACTGGCACTACGTTTGACTATTTGAGGTAAAAAGCTACATTAGTATAATAAGGGAGTTTACCTTCCCTTAAATAAAAGATTAAGGATTCTATCCAACAACATTATAGGGATGCATCAATAACATTGATTTGTGCATAGGTGGAGGAGGGGGTGATGATGCTAGGATAAGAAAATTCTTTTATATTACATTGCTAGTGTCTATCTTTTTTTTGGGGATGATGCTAATTTTATATTAGTGTCAACTCATATATTTTCTTCCCTTAGGGCTTCGATCAATTCATATTCATGAAATTGAGTTACGGGTGAGTTGGTTGGTGATATATTGTGCAAGTTCTAAATTTTTGTCTTGGAAGCCTCATTCAATCTATAATCTTTTTTATTGAGCGTCCGAATATATTTTCGAACACTGGACGTGGAAATCTAAGGCAATCCTATAAATCGGGCTTCATTCAAGCGATTGTTGGGAATGCGAAGTGAAGTCTATATTCTAAATTCTTTACTTAGGGAAGACTAGTAGTAAGCTAGCTCCACAACGTGAGATTCATGAGGATCTATCAACATGTATTGATCATCATGGAGTTTTTGACGCTAGAGGAAGCCATGGCTCAACTTGTGACCAAGTGCAGTCAATCATGAAGTTGATGACACTTGGAATTCATATCTGGTCAGGGCTTAAAGTGAACATCAAATTTGCCATGTTCTATAGAACATTTTCTAATTAGTTTGAGATGCTAGCATTTGGAATATGGCTTCAAGTGGGAGTTATCTTAGCACTATCATTGTATGGGCTTGGAAGTATGACTCAAGTTTACAATTTGCGTTGGCTAATACAAGGTCATTCTGTTATAAGTATTTTACTTACTAGGTTGTATATGGGTTATATCTTCCTTGCACACCAAGATTGATCTTATTGCTTATTTGTAGAAAGCTTGGTAGAGATCATTGTCTTCCCTAAGATAGGTTTGGAGAGAAGTAGAGGAGTGGCAAGGTATACTTTGAGCTATGCAAAAGTTTATAGGTATTCATCAGATCTAAGAAAAGTAGTTTGCAAAGTTCTCAGGATTTTAATGAATTGAAGATGCAAGTTTAGTTGATTGAACTAGGAAATGATAAAGATCTATGATTCTCCCATTCAATCTTTGCATGTCATTTATTGATCTTGGTTTCCATGAGGAGGGATTGCTTTTCTTCGGATTGACCTCAATTCCTCAATTATTTATCATGAAAGCCACCATTTTTTTTCAATTTGTTTTAAAAGAGCATTTGGTATTGTTTAAAATGGATCTTATGTTTTCTTAAATATGCTTTGAAAGAGCATTTGCCAACCATGATGGGTAGTATGCTTCCCTTAGGAAGTTGGTGGCTAGTAATTTGTCTACTTCTTCAATAGCGAGGGATTGCCTAGGGGCAGAATTTCTTTTCTTTTGCCATGTTGCTTTTTATTTGACATTGATATGTTGGGAGTGTGTGATAACTTATGAGTTAATCCTAGGCATGTTTGCTCAAGGGCCAAGCAAAAAACGTCAGATTTGACATTCAAGAATTCGATGTAGCTCCTTTGCTCTTTTTGGGAAGAGAGTGACACAATTATATTGTTTCAGTGAGATCATTCTTGTGTGGTGGGTTTTTTATGATGTCTTTTACTGAGGCGAGGTATCTCATCGTAAGACGATCTCATCACTGAGATCAAAATTCTCAATGTTTAGGATTATAGCTACTCAAGATTGATAATATGTATTACTGTGATTGGACATTTGATTTGGTTGTCGTGCATCTCCCTGACTCCTTGCAAGCCTGGGAACTTTGGTTTTAAAAGAGGAAGAGATGTTGTAACTTGGAAGATGCATTGTAGAGGCCTATCAAGATATCATTTTTTTGCTTGCTTCATTTTCATTACCTCAAATTAGAAGTTGTTACGGGTAAGTTAATTGTGTCCTTCACTTTAACAATACTCTTAGCAAAGCCATGAAGTGGTCTTAAAGGTGCTTGTATTTGCTCTTAGGCAAAGAATATTAATAAAAGGAAAGTCAACTATGTTTCCATTATCCGCTAGTATCATCTACACATGGTGGGTGGTGTTTCTTTCCAATAGATGCTATTAGAGCATTCTGATGTGGAGTTCAAATTCCATCAAAGTTAGCGTCATCAAATGTAATGGTGTTTTAGATTCAAATATCTTTTCTCTAAAGGCTCAACTGAATTTTAAGAGAAAATATTCATGTTAAAATTATGGTTGCTAACAATTCTTTTAATGGTTCCAACCATTAAACAATTATTTGCTTGTTGTCCATGAAGATTTGAGTGGTATTCTTGTTGGTTTTGTTGAGGGTATGGCTGTTATTTTTGAAGGAAATGTCGTAAGTGTACATGCAAGATCAGACATTTATTTTTTTCTTTAAGTTGATGACAATCCTTTGGAGTGTGTTTGCACCCGTGGTGGTGATGACAATATTTTGTTTGATCTTCACTCCTAAGATATCTTAGTGCTTAATTGTTTGATAAAACTTCATTTTGAATTGCCATAAGGATGTTAATTTGAGTGGAGTAAAGGATCTAAGCTCCTATTCTTGCTCTTGTTGGCCTTGGGTATCTTTAGTTGAACCTCATGATTGGTTCACACTTTGGTTGAAAGTACAAATGCTAATTTGGGTTATTGGTTTAGGTTTGAGTTCAACTTAAAAAAGATC